GATGCGGCCACAATCAAAGATGAGATTAATGGTTCGTCTGTGCTTATGTGGAAAACGGTGAGCTTGCAGAGCCTCGGTCTGCTTCACCTATCTATACGTACCAGACAAGTGCAAGAAAAAAAAATCCGGCAAATTCAAGGAAAAAGGTGAAGGTTGCTTCGAGTGGATGTTTCTGCCTTGACCTCCCTCAATGACACGCGGGTCCCTCTTACCAGCACAACTCCACCGGGCGCAGAACTCCCCGACCCCGCGTTCTCGTCAATGGCCCATATAAGGCCCAGCCCACCACCACCTCCCTCTTCTCCCCTGCGACAAAGACGACGCAAGCCCTCGCCTCTCCCAACTCCTCCAAACCCTCGCCGACTCAGATCCAGCTGCCCCGCGCCGCCGTCGTCATGCCGTTCACTCCGGGCCCCTATTCTGGCGTCAGCACCCTCGCCCTTGTAAGTCTCTGTTCTTCCAGAAGATTCTGTCCTGGTTGCTTCCGGATCGCATCTGAATCCCTCATCGCGCATCCTCGTTTTGTTTCTGCAGGTGGCGAGGGCGTCGGCCTTCGGCGTCGGTGTCGTCTACGGGAGCATCAAGCTCTCAATCCTCAAGGTACGTCTAGTCTTGTGAATTGGCTCAATCTTAGTCTTGTGAATTGGCTCATCCTTAGGCTTGTTTATTGGCTCGATCTGGTAGCGGAGGGGTTATAGATGGTTTTATTTCCGCAACGCTTTAGCATGGTTCAGGAATCGGCTAAGGATATATGATGTGAGGATTTGATGGAATGCCGAGCTGTTATTCAGGGTGAAATTAACCTTTACCTATGTTGATGCCCTTAGTGGAACGGTTTCGAGCCTTACTCGTCTGGAATCTGGATAGTCATAGACTGATTTTTTTTTTTTTTTGAAACTGACTGAAGGGTATATTTATGGTGGTATTAATCGTTGAGTTCAAATTAACGAGCTGATGCTTGGCATCGTGGAAATAGTTTGTTTAATAGCTTAGTTCCATGAACCAGTTATGAGGCTGTTGTATAGCTGTTTGTTAGTTTATGACTGCCACAAACTATTTTGACCTGGTTTGTTTCCTCTGCATGTTTGTGGGCACTACACATGATATTCTTCTTCCCTGAAGATGAGTTGTATTTCTATATATATATATATATATTTGCTCATGAGTTGTCACATTCTGGAAGTTCCCCAAAAGCGTGTTTGGAATTTATTAGATAGAATCGCACTTGTTACATTTCAATGTTGTTAACTGACGTGATTTTTAACTAATGCGGACATAACTAACCAACTTGAGGTTCTTAACTAATGCGGGCATAATTGTAGGTTCTTGTAGAATTGATAGTCATTCTGTTGGTTCTGCAACTGTTCAACATTGATTTGTCATTAGAGACAACGTCAATTGTCGGTGCAGTTTGCCTCTCTTGCATGTTATGGGCTTTATGTCGCACTTGAACTTTGGTGAGCAGCATTAGATTTATGTGTGGCTTAGTAGTTCCAAAATATGTTGATTTAAATATCCCAAACTGAAAAGCATGCGCATGTTTCGGTTTGGCCTGGTATATACTGGTAAACCCCATAGCCTATAGATTCAGGGTTGCCTGATGATGCATGTATTTTCTCTGAGCTTGATGTACTGTATTGAGTTACTAGACATTGTTTATTATGAATACACACTCCCTTTCGGAGTACTATGCATCGAACTCTATTCTACTGAGGTATCATAGATTGTAGTTTCACCTACAACATGCATCAATTTAAATTCATTGTCTATGCTGTTTCGTGTCTTGATATTGTAAGAGTCATTCTTTTCTGACTAGTACATATCGTCGTCTGGTAGCCCTTGAAACAGTAGACATTGTTTATTATGTTATAGCTTCCTCTTTTGTTGTGATTGGTCGACTACCTTTTCACCACTCTTCCCCGATAGATGTCTGTGCTGGTTCTTCATAATTTCCAGCATTGTGTAGATCTTTGTACTGATCCTTTTGAACTGGTTGACATACACATTCCTACGGAGCGCGAAAAGGGGTTGTAGATACTGCTGTACGAACAGCGGATGCTGGCTCCAGAATTCCTGTTCAATCAGTCAAGACTTCCTTACACTGTTGATTTCCTTGATCCACAAACGGTTCACTAATATCTTTGTGTTGGTTGCTCGTACCTTTAAATTTAGCACTGCGATCTTTACTAAGTTTTTTATTGAATTTGTTATCTTCAGTAGATGCTGCTACTGTTGACTTTCCTATGCAAGCTAAGAAACCTATATTATTTAGTGAGCTTGTTTTGGTGTTGTTTTAACTTTGGGCCTGGTAACAGATAATCTTGCATGCCACATTGTGGTTGTGAAAGATCATGTTTGCTTCATTCCCTATGAAATATCCTATTGGTTATTGAACCGCTCAATTCAATTTTCTGATGTTGCACTCTCTCTTTCAGGCAACAAAACCTAAAAAGGAGGAAGCGCATGCTCATGCTCATCACTAAGTACGACGGGGCTGCTACATGTTAATTCCTATGGAAGGATGTTATAAATTGGCAGGGCACCCTTTTCTTCATACATGCAATTTGGTTTATGATTTGTGGACCTCTTGCCTGTAACACACCTGCGAGTTACCTTAGGTTTGTGTCATAATAAATTCTTATCCAATGACTTGAAATCAGGAAGGAAGGGGAAAAATAAAAATTAAAAACATTTTTGTTTTGTGAGGTTGCAGAGTTAGGACGTGGCCTCTTGAATTTCGGTCATGAGGATCTGCCTTGCTGATTCTGTTTTGTTGCGACGATGTGCAATGGATGGTTTCTGCTGAATGATGGCACTGTTTTCGTAACTATGTTGTTGCAGAGGACGTAGTATTGCTGAATGCAGCCATACGTGCAAAACGGGTATAGAATGATGACTAGCTGTGCTCTACAGCAGTCGTATAGGTACCATCCTGACCTGTGGACTGGTGGGCAAACACTTCAAATGTTGAAAACTGAATTTTTTTAGAAAGTATACCCATTTGAAAACTTGAAGTTTTGAAGCAGGCTTCGACAGCTACGAGCTCCGCGTTGAGAAGCGAAGTGAGCCGCGCTAGCGCGCTACTCTTCCTTTATGAGGTTGAGACTATCCAAATCTACTGATCTAAGAACTCTGCCAGCGAACTGAATTTTTTTTAAAGTATACCCATTTAAAAACTTGATTTTTTTTTCCCGAAAGTATACCTAGTCCCTAGAAGTCCAAAAGATAATTTGTGATACGGTGATATTGCATCTACACTTGTGCGACGTTTCAAAGTCTTTGAAAAACGTCAAGTATGCTTTTGAGTTTTGAGGCAGTTTTCGACATTTAGGCCTTGTTCGGTTATTCCTAGAGGGGATTGAAAGAGATTATGAGGGATTTTGACTTGCTAGGGATTTAAACCACCTCAATCCCCTCTAATCCTCTTAGAATCATTTGCAACCGAACAAGGCCTTAAGGTGTTGGGCTTGATAACCGTACTTGGCTACTCGTAAAGCTCATGAGCGATTTTATATGTATATTTAATTTGTTTATTTTAAAACTTCTTAAAGAATTCTGCCGAAGCATACAATAGCCAATTGAAACAGCGGCATTTAAATTTGGCAAATTTAGTTGGCGAAATTACCCCTTCTGCTAACTGAATTGATGAGATTTATCTTTTTTTTTACATCGTGCATCTTTTAAAAACATAATAACATTTCCAGATGAGCTCGGATTGAGATTATATAAAAAAATATAGTGTTTGATGAGGTCTATAACTTTGCAGCTCATTGTGTATTTTTCCTTTAAGCTAGGGCTTCCAACAAAAAAGTTATAAAGCTATATAATAAAGTTATAGATCCTATATATATATATATATATATATATATATATATATATATATATATATATATATGGAAACTAGCACTATAATTTTCATACGATGTCGTAGAAAAAGTTATGATTTTTAGGCTTATGTTACGGGCTTATGACTGAGTGAAGTATAGCCCACAGTTAATCGCTCTCTAGCATAACATTAACATATCTCCAAATATGTTTAATTTTTTATAAGACATCAGATAAATATATAAAATTATAATTTACAATAAAACTACATTCTTGATAAGGTCTGCAACTTAATAGTTAACAACCTTTTTTGTTTGAAGCCATCTCGATACCAAAATAACTAATCCAATCTTCAGATATGTATTTGTTGATTAGAACATTGTACTGATTTTTTTGGGGCCAATATGGCAATATGGTCTAAAATTTAAAACTTTATGAACTTAAGAATTCATGTTGAAAAGTTATGTTTTTTTTTAAATACGCTGCGTGTGAAGGGGAAATTACACCTATTGAATCGGCAATGAGGGAAATCCCGCCATTTACCAATACGTGTACATTTATGTATAATTTTTTATTGGGGCAATTAATTTTGCAAGAAAAAGAATGGGAAAATATTTTAAAAAATCGCTCATCCGTAGGGGCTGTGTTCGCGCTAGGCCTTGGCCCATGCCTGCTCCTGGATGTGGCAACTATTCAAAAAAAACCTATTCATGATACTAGCTCTTTTGTGGGCCAAAGCTGACCCAATATAGCCAGATTTTGTCTACACTCTACAGTACTTATTTGACAGCGCATGATGCATGAAGGCTCAAAAGCATCGCCGCCATGCGCCATTGGCATCTACTCACCTGCTCTCATTCCTGCCACGCGCAGGACCACGGACTGATCGAGATGTCTCCTTGCCCCGTCGTCATTGATCTTGTGATACACCGCTATCTTCTTTCACGAAAATACCATCTAGAAAGAAGTGAGGAAAACGATGCGAACACATATAATTTCAGTCAAACAAACCGTGACTGTCTTTGAATATTTGCTTGCAGTGCTGATACTGGTACTCATACAGTTCATGGGTAATACTAATACACATGCGATCGACACGGATCGATCATCGACGCCGTTCACGTCGTATTGGGTGGGGCCGTTGCTTGCGAGCGACGAGGGGCCGCACCGGCGGGTCAGTCCCGGCGCGCCGGCCGCGGCGGGTCGTGCCTGGTGGAGACGGAGACCGCGGTGGACATCACGAGCATGTGGCTCAGCGTCGCGACCCACCGCTTGTACACGCCGTAGTCGTCCGCGCGGAGCTCCACCTTGCCCTTGTTCGTGGAGACCTCCACCGGGTATGTCGCGCCCGCCTCGTGGCTCGGCTTCTCCGGGGCGCACGGCCGCACGTCGCGGATCACGCCTGCCGGCGCGTGAGCAGGTGGCTGCTGGGTCAGTTCAGTTTGTCCGAGGAAGAAAACAAGAGGAGACAGGGAAGAAACGAGACGATCGCGCCGGGCGTTGCCGGTTCCTTACTTTCTTTTGCGTGGGAGAAGGCCATGACGAGGTTTGTCTTCTTGATCCGCAGCACGATCTCGCCGCGCTTGTTCGACGCCGCCGACACCGTGTGGAGCTTCCACTTCCCTGCGACGCGACGCGCAAAGAGAACCGTTCAGTTTTCGCATGCAAAGAGACGACGTGCAGTGCAGGTTGTAGAATCATCGGCAACGCGGCGGCCGGTACTCACCGTCCGGCATCGCAACGAACATCTCGTCGCCCTTGGCCAGCGCCGCCCTGGACCTCGCGTGGTTGAAGTCGAAATCGAGGTCGTCCTGCGACAGCGACGACCCCGAGTGCTCCGCCCTCTCGTGCTGGCCGTGCCCGCCGCCGCTGGCGCTGCGCCGTCCTCTCAGCGTCGCAGCGCCACGCAGTGCTGTGACGTGCCAGACAGCCAAATAAGTACTCCGTGTCAGGGGATATGTATGCCAAACGAATTGTGAACGAGACATACAGGTGGCGGCGGCCGCGGTGAGCGTGATGACGCTGCTGGCGTCCGTGGAGGCCCTGGCGGCGTCGACGGCCGCCGCGACCTGGTCGCGCGAGGCGCCCGCGGCCTCGGCCACCTTGGCGCACTGCGCCGCGATGAGCGCGGCCGCGGACGCCACCGCCGTCTCCCTCATCCCGGGCGCGCGGGGCCGCGCGGCGTTCTCCGCGGCGATGGCGGCGAGCGCGGCCGCGACGCCGGCCACGGACACGGCGGCATGGACCTCGGCCCGCTGCAGCCGCGCTTCCTCCTTGCGCTTCTGCTTCCGCTCCTTGACCCACTTCTTGAGCGAGATCCCGTTCCACGGCGCCATCTTGCGCGGGAGCTGCACGCAAGTTCAGAAAATTTTAAGACCTGGCCTGGCAAAGCCATCACAAAATATATTATGGCAATAAAAATATCTCACGATTTGCTTGATCTCAATTCAAGCATATCTCCCCATTTAATATTTCTTAATAAGGATTTCAAAACAGGAAATTTGAAACGAGATACGGGCATACAGCTGATGCTGATGACAGCATTCAACTCAAATCGTTTTCTTTCCCAGAATATGATAATCACTCGACCGTTCATATCCATCCACCAGAACCAGAAGTAGGAACCACTACCAAAATCAATGAAAGAACAAGTTCCATGATCACATAAATTCTTGAATAACTCAAGATGATCTGAATGATTTAGATGAGAGCATGTAAACCATCTCTGTGCAATTCGAAATATTTGCAACACGTTTGTCAGGGAATCATGCGTGCTATGTAATTTCAGAGATAAACAGAAGAAACCGGCTCTGAGAAACAATACACCTCCTTTCACTCACCCATTTCTTCTTGAGGCAGAGATCATAGTCCAGTTCGGGATGAATTGCCTTCTGCAGCCAAATCCATGACTGAAAAACGAAGAACGCTAGTAAGGTAAAAACTTGACTCAAGGCTAAAAACGAGTTTGTGCATGAACATCCTACGATCGCACAAACTGTGTACCTTCAGATCATCATATTTCCACTGGGTCGTGCTGAAACTGCTGTTGTCAACCACCAGGCTACGATCGCTCTTCTGCAAAGCATCAAGAAAGAGATAGATTGGCACGCGTCTCAAATTTCATCTCCAGCACAATACGACATACCATTTGCTACAGTACTGAATCTGCACTTACTGCCAGCATGTCATTCCTGTCGTTACCGAGCGCCATGACCGGGTGCTCCACCAGTGCCATCGAGCACTCCTTGGGTCCTGTGTGATGAACTTGGATAGCCGAGCTGCACCACGCGCTCGAGAGCAGGTCCGTCGACTCTGGAGCCGGCTCTTCATACGCGATTAGGCCTCTTTCTGGCTCCATGGCTACGGCAGGGCAGAAGCCAAGCTTAGAAGCAACTCAGGAAAGGCAGGTGTCTGAGATTTATACTGGATGAGTGGATGTCACTCTTGGTAGCTGTGCAGGTGCAGCCCCTTCTGTCTTTCTGAATTCTGATGCACAACCTGCAGCCGCAGAGAATGTCAACCTGCATCCATCAGAGAATGTCTTAAAGTAGGAGAACCAGATCCTTGATCGAATCACTAGGATAGCCTAATTAGTCTATGATCAACCATCAGAGCAAACAAAATATACTTTAGATTACAAAAAAAACCTAAAACAGAGAGAACAGGTGTCACTAGGAGCCCCAACCAAGGCAGTGAGTAAAAAAAAAAGGTGTCACTGAGAAAGGCAGTGAGTAAATAAAAAACTATAAGTACCAAATAAACAAGCATATTAGTACTAGCTTTTTGGGAGGAAGAGGAGTGCAGTAGATCATGAGCTTCAAGTATGCTTTAGGTGCACACAACGAAGATGGAATCAAAATGGGGACCTGGTAGCCTTTACAGTAGAAAATTAGAAAATTGGCGGCAGTTAATAACTGTCCTAGAATTTGAGGTGTTTGACACACACATTTTTCGGTGCCGGATTTTATACTAATTAGTCTCAAAACGCACTATGCAATTAATTTTAATTTTGTTAACATTTACGTCTCCAAGCAACACTGCTGACAAATACCATTGAAAAGAGAATGCTTGAGCACACACTTTTCGGTGCGATTTTTATTGCCGTGCAACAATGATCCAGGAGTAGCGTTTCGGTGCAATGATCCAAGTATATTTTATCGTAAATCAAATCGAGTAAAAAGGCGAAGAGAACATGAGGTGTTGGGTTGCCACTTGTGCAATAGAAAAAAAAAACAGAAAAGGCAGCAGGATGAGGGTGTCATGCATAGGATGTTTCGGAACTTTCGGGCATCATTGCTATGCGTGCAATATAGAACTACTTGTCCAGCTGGCTACAAAATAATTTATTATATAGCCACTTTGAGTTACGATAATAACTATGTTAATTTATGAGATTATATTAACTCCTTATTAAGTAGTTTATTGTAATGTCACGGTAAATATCCCCATGTGTTATAGTAACCCAACTATCGTAAATATATATATATATATATATATATATATATATATATACACGGTAAGGCTATTCTGCAGCTGGCCATAGAATAATTTATTCTATGGCCACCTTGATTTACGATAATGTTTGTATCAATTTACGATAATAACAATACACATTTATGATACATAGGTTACTATAATTTAAGATGATATTTACCATAATGCTATAGTAAATCACTTACGAAAGAGTTACCATAATCTCGTAAATTAGTATAGTAATTATCGTAACTCAAAGTGACCACAGAATAATTTATTCTCATGGGTGACTATGTAATAAAGACATGTGTGTATATATATATATATATACCTCATGGGTCACATATATGGCCATGCAACCCGAGCCCGTCGGTCCGGCCCAAGGCCCGTTTTTTTGGCCCGGCCCGGCGGCTAGCGGGCCCGGGCTGGCACGACCCGGAGGAGCAGGTCGTGCCTGGGCCTTACCCCAGGCACGTGGGCCGGCACGGCACGGCCTACTACAGAACCGGAGACCTGCTGGCGGCCCGGCCAGCGCCTACCTCTTAGATGCGGCGCCCTCTCTCCCTCACGTGCAGTCGCTCTCCCTCACGCGTCGTCGATCTCTCCCTCCACTCTCTCTCCCTCCGGCCCTCCCTCCACTCTCTCCCGGCGCAACAACGGTGCCCCTCTCCCTCCTCTCTCCACGGCCCCTGTGGGGCGCTCGTGGTGGAGCTCGCGGGCCCCATGACATGAAGCTCGCTCATGGCCTCGCAACGGGATCGGCGCTCCCCTCGCAGTGGTGGTGATGCTCCCCTGCAAGCGGCCGGCGAGATCCGGCCTGAGGAGGTGGCGGCTCGGAGCAGGGCGGCTCTCCTCCGGCGTGGACGTCTCCGGGCAGGGGTGGCGCGGATCTCCTCCTCCGTGGTGGATCCGCTCCCCGCGTCCTCCCTCCCTCCCTTCTCCGGCGGATCCGGCACCGGTGCAACGGATCCGGCGAGTGGCGAGCGCGCTGGCCTCCTCCGGATCCGGCGGCGAGCGGCGTCGACCCCCTACACCTCTCGAGCGGCGTCGCCCTTCCCCTCTCTCTCTCTCTCCGTCGGCAGCTAGTGGGCTTCGGGCTGGCACGGCCTGTGAAATTGGCCGTGTTTCTCGGGCCAGCCCGGCACGAAAATCGGCCCATAGTGCCGTGCCTGGGCCGGAGGCCAGGCCCGTGGCCTTGTGAGGCACGGCCCAGGAGGCACGTCGTGCCGTGCCGGCCCGACCCCCATCGGGCCGTGCTTTCATGGGCCGTGCCGTGCCGTGCCGTGCCGGGCCGGGCCGGGCCGTTGGCCATCTATAGGGTCAGTGCACATGGATATAGTGGATGTTCAGCGCACTGGGTTTCAATCTGAAAATCTTTTCCCCTAAAATAATACTAATGGTCTAGACTCATCTAGTGCAGTCGTGCTGTAGGCTGTAGCAAGCTGTAGCAAACTGTAGCAGAAGCACAAAATGATAACGCTGAGGGCTTTCAGTCTCACATCAGTCGCTGCCCATTGTCCATAACAAGAAAGCTAGAAGGCAGAAGCAAATCCATATGCTGTATAACATTAAGTCCAGAGATCATGACTGGCCTTCAAAACAAGGTGGCAAAGCATGTATGATTATGCCTCTCAGGATTCTTCAGCCCCGAAGTATCACTGAAGCATGGTATCACCAATAGTAATAGAAGAGAATGCTTCGGAAGCTGAGGTGCAATGATCGGCCCGGGCGTAGCGCAGGAAGAATTTCATTAGCTGGTGAATTGTTGGTCTTCAGTCCCTCAAGAAATGGCAGCAGGATTTGGAAGTGGAATGGTGTTTTCAGATGATCCAAAGCAGCTTCCGTTGTTGTGGAACAATAGTTGAGCGACTCCCAGGATTGCTTCTTCTAGTTGTCAATAGAGGGTGCGACAGTAATGCCTTTGCCAGTTGGTGTAATATCAAACCTAAATTTAAAAAAAAAATCAAATGGTTTTAATGTTAGTTTCTGTACAAGCGTTAGGTAACTATTTCCCATCCACTGCTGCTGCCTAAAGAGCATTCCAACTGAAGCTTCTTAACCCTTGTTTATTCTAATCTCATGTGTAGGCCTCTAATCCTGTCTGCTAATCATTAACCTTTTTGAAAATTTCGCTAGATAGAATTATATATATTATTTATCACGTCCCTTTTGATCAAGGATGGGATAATAGTTTGGTCTCTGCTCTGTAGTCTGTACAGCTCCTTTTGGATGTAAAGTGGGGGCTGCGGAATCTTGAAGGCTCTCACAGGGAATTTTCAGGGGAAGCTGAAATCATGTTAATTTGTCGGCATGCAGTTCTTGTCACTGCTTTTTTACTAGCTTTTGGGAAAGGAAAATAGAATGTCAATTCCTTCGGCACTATGGTTGCTGGAGACATTCTTTCACTAGGCACTCTAATAAATGTTCAAGGAACCCATTAGGTAACTCAGCTAAAACTTCATCGCCGTGTTCGCTTGGCTCAATGTATTTAAGCCTCAAGGAAAGCCTGATTGGAATGAGATGAGGAACAAATTCCTAACATACCCTGTATATCTTCACAGCAATAAGATGGGCTCAGACATATGCTGAGCTAGAAGGTCAATGAGGCACTGAACCACTATCGTTGTTCTCTTTGATGGAACCACAGAATCATTCTAATGGGTAGGCAATGCAGCCGGCTTATTTTACCGGGCATCACATTGATCCGCAGATCATTGTAGGTCTTTGGTTTTATCCGGACACTTTTGGCCTTTGTTACCGATTTCATTATATATCAAGTAGTGACTCCTGTCATAACCAGACAAATGAAAATCAAGCTGGCGTCAGAACGAAGGCAAAACTCAAACTCCATTTACGAAGAACGACACATCAGAAATATATATTCTGTCTGGGTCGTCAAACTTTATGATAAGGACTGAGTATTTCCCCAAGAACAGAACTTCAAAAGTTATCAACAATAGCACAATATCCACAAGGGTTAGTTTGGACAAATCATTGCCCTTTTGGATTAGAGGGCATTGAGGAAAATGAGCTAAACCCTTCAGTCCCTTCCATTCCTCTACAATCCACATGGGGAATGAATGTACCCAACAAGACCTAGTATTGTCCTTTTTAATGCCATGATACGTAGTTCTCATGCGTATTCAAGAAAAAAAAAACCTAATATTGTACATAACCAAGGAATTTTAGGGGCTTCTTACACCTTCTAAAACAAGCTCTGCATTTCTCCATTGAAATGGGCAAATGGCTACTCTGAAAAACTGAAGACAGCATTGGTGTCATATTCAGACTAAACTATCTCTCCGTCAATAATGTGGTGTCTCATCAGAACAATTTCCTTGACAAGATTTCTGTAAGTGAATGGGCGGACAGCGGCCCTCAAGAAGAGCCCTCTGTTAGCATTGCTCTGACTTCCATCCGCTGCACTCCTGCTCCTTGTCCTCTCCTGCTCCTCCTCATCTTCCTCAGCTTGTTCCTGCTCCATAATCATTGCATTTGCTCTGGCCATTTTCCACTCCATCTCTTTCTCTAGATCCATCTGCTGCTTATTGTACTCATTTGATGCCTCAATGCTTGTCTTGACTAGCTTCTCCATTTTATCAGAACTTCTCATAGCCTTCTTCCACTGCTCATCCCAGTATTCCCCGCTATCCTCAATATTCTCTTTTGAAACTTCATCAGGTTCCAAATCCTCCTGGGTATCGGTTTCATTCTCATCTTCATAATCATCGTCTCCGCCATCCAAAACATCATCAGCCTCATTTTCCTCGACCCAATCAGCCACCTCAATTCCATAGTCATCACCAACCTCATCGTCACTCTCATCAGGCGCATCACATCCCAGTTCTAGCTCCTCTAGCTTCACCTTCCACTCCTTGGTATAAGGATGGAGGAGATCCATGGGGTGGTTCGTGAGCAAGAATTCCAGGCATCGCGACTTGTCCACATCACTCAGCCTTGAGTAAGCATTCACAACATCGTCCACATAAGCCTTTGGGTTGGATTTCACTATCTTGCAGAGGCCACCAAAGTAGGTTGTCCGAATGACCTGGCCATCCAGCTCAAGATCGAACAAGAAGTTGTTCTCCGTGGCAGGATCAACCAAGGGGCGAAGCTTGCTGAAGAAATCCTCCTGCGGCTCAAACCTCGACTGGTACAGAGGCCGCCTGACGTATATGATGTCCGGGCGCGTCCATGCCGCGCACCGCGTGATGAGCTCGCGCGTCGGGTTGCCGAACCTGCCCATGAGGCTCCACTTGTCGAGCCGCTCGTCTTTGCTGGCCTGGACGGCGACCTCGGCCGAGAGCGTCCACTGCTCCCAGGGCTTCTCGTCGGGGCGCCACTTGGGGTGGCGCACGAAGACCCAGTAGTAGCGGAACCCGACGGCGTCGCCGAGCTCGTTGAGGCGGTGCGTGAACTGATTGCACATGTCGAACTGCTCGACGCGGTCCCACTCCTCGTGGTCGTGGACCTCCTCCATGAGCGAGACGCGGTCGTCGGAGAAGCGGCCGCGGATGGGCGGGCCGACGACGATGCCGCGCCAGTGGTAGGGCCCGTAGCGGCCGTACTTGTACCAGTCGTGCGGGTGCTGGAGACGCGGGTCGTCGGGCCCGTCCATGAACCGGACGGCGCGGTCGTACCCCATCCCGATCATCTCGAGCTCCGCGTCCGTGAAGGCGTCGGCCTGGCCCGTGGCCGCGGCGCGGCGCTTGCGGCGGTAGAAGGCGTTCTCGCCCATGCGGCGGCTGCGGATGCGCGCCTTGGCCTTGGCCTCGCGCCGCACGTCCCCGCTTCCCTCGATGCGGCCGCCGCCGCCGCCCTGGGGGTTCTTCTTCTTCTTGCTGCGGCCCGCGTGGACCACGGTGGAGGGAGGCTCCGGCGGAGCGGGACGGCGCGGGGGCGGAGTCGGAGAGGTGGGGAATGACGAATCAGAAGCGAGTGCGGAGGCATGGATGGCAGCGGCGGCGGCGGCGCTGGATCTGCGTCTGGGGAACGGCGGAGCGAAAGATGCGGATCTAGGGAGGAAGGGTGAGGCGGCGGCGGCTGTGGGGGGAAGGAAGCGGAGGCCTGAGCAGCTGGGATAAGGGGGGGTGAGGCCGAGGAAGGAGGTGGATGCGCCGGTCGGCATGTTGGGGCTCCGAGGAGAGGGAACTGGGGTTTGGCTGGGTTTTGGGGGCAGACCCAGGCCCGCTGCCTGCCTGTTTGCCTGTGAAGTGAGATTTTTCCTCTATCATCAGTTCATCACGATGAGGTTTTCGTGTCCGGAACGCGGAACTGATGATTGTGTGATAAAATAAAATAAAATAAAATAAAAACTCCAGTGCTGCAGGGCCGCGTTTAGTTGCCTGCGGAAGCGCTGCGATTTGAGGAGCAGGTTTGGTAATAATTGTCAATCGGATAATTAGGCCAAATGTTCGTCTTAAAAAGCTGTGGCCTGCAATTATTTTTGATTTTAACACATGTGTCTACGCAATGCAAGCCACGCATTTAAAGTTTGATGTGATGGAAATCTTAGCATGCTGGAATTTGGATGAACTAAACGTGGCCCAGGCTGCATTTGAGCAGCAGGTCTGGCCCAGGATGATCCGGCTGTGGCCTGTGGACATGTGTGGGTAGCTGGGCCGGCCGGTAATCAGGAAGAGCTCGGCCTCCTCTGGATCTCTGCAGCCACCGCCCACCGTAATTGTTTGCGAAAGAGGAACAGGAAACCTTCTGCCTGCTGCCTCCACGCGTCCACGCATCGAAGTCTCACAAAAGGTTTTATATCTGTCTATTCTAATCTATTCTATACTGTAAAAGAGCGAAGTAACTGAGAAATACTTGTTAACCAAAAGTTTCGTACCCACTTATATCAGGACCGTTGAATTGATTTCTCATATTTAGATCTGAAGGTCTAAATTAGTTTTGTTGTGGGCCATACAAAAATCTTACGCCCACATCTTACGGTTACGCGTTCCTGCCATTGATGAACACCCGGAGCTCGTGTAAATACCCACCTGATCGATCCATCGTCACCCGATCACCTTATATTTTTCCCAACTCTCGACGTACCTCATATTTTTGAGAAAATTCCTTCGTTGCCATCGAAAACTATAACGATCTCTTCGTTGCCATTCAAAATTATATGTTCCCTTCGTTGCCATCAGTTTTAGATTTTCCGTTTTTAGAATACAGAGGAGTTACTGGCGTGACTTGCTCCCATAATCGACGCGTCGAGAACCATCGCAGGTCGGCTTGGGGTCATGGGCTCGACGTCGCAGCGGGTGGGCGTGGCGAGGTCGGTGGAGGCTCGACATCAGGCACTGGCGCGCCGAGGTGGTCGGGGAATTGGTTGGCTCCGAGGTTCGGTATGGATTACGAGGATCTGACGCGACGGCTCCGGGTCAAAGCGGCTCGAGGCGCAGAAGAAGATGTGACAAGAGCTCGAGTTGCTCGGAGCTCTGAAGTTTTTCTTCGATACGACACGTCGGTGGTCGTCGGCGTGGAAGATGAGGACGACGCAGTGGTGGCGTCGACGAAAGAAAATCCGACGGTGGTGGCGCGCCACACATCTTACGGAGGTGATGGCGCGTTTACGGGTGGAGCTGCGCTTCGCACGAGAAGGCCTGCCATTCGATGATGGCGGCGGCGCTGTCACCGGGCGCCGCTTCTTGGACGGTGATCGCTTCGGCCATCCAGCTTCGCTTCTCCCACGTGCTTCTGCCGTGGCCGTTAGCTTTCGACGCGGCCGCTCGCTCACAGTGTTTCGCCAATATTGGCGCGCTCGCTTCGGCGACAGTCACCCGCCCGTGTGCCTGGCCGTGGTAAGACGCCGTGCCGCCCCCGTTTGTCTAGCGCCGGGCCGCTGGCCATGTGGCGGTGCCCTCCCGTCTTTCGAACTTTTTTCGGTACCGGAGATGGAGAAGAGAGAGAGGAAGAGGATGGGGGCAATCTTGTGGCTCTGGTATGGACGTCGAGGCATGGGCGGGACAAGCAGCCCAACAAAGGGCGAGGCGAAAGCGGACAAGGACCTGCAGCATGGGTGGCGCTGTCGTTGCGCACCGCATGGCTCGCCACGCCCCCTGGCGCTCCGCGAGCTCGCCATCGTACAGCTCGGCCGGCAGCGCGCCGCGCCGCGGCCGGACGCCACTTCTCGCCTCCACGCGCAGGCAAGCTCGCTCTCATCTCGCTGCACCACCTTCCTCCCTTCCACCACCGCGGAGTCCACCACCTCCTTCCTCACCTCGACCCGACCTCCTCGGCGAAGCGCCGCCTGGTCCTGGGCGCCTGGCCTCGGCCATGGGGGCCGCTGCCGACGCAGTGGCATGAAGCGCGGCGCTGCGGAGGCGCAGCTGCCGACCTCGAATGAAAGTGGCATGGCGGCCATCGGGACCCTCCGCCGCCATCGCTGCTCCACGTGCCGCGCCTCTCGCGCTCCTCCCGTGACAGACGCAGCGACGACGCGAGCAGTGCGTGGGCAGGGAGGCCGGGCGCGTGGGCGCGGGCATGGAGGAGAGGCTTGAGGCGGCCGGAGCGGCGAGGATGGATGGAGGTGGCGGCGAGGACCTGGAGGAGGCGGAGGCGGGCGGCAGGACGCAGGAGGCAGACGGGATCATGGGAAGGTGTGGGAGGTCGCGACGATTTGTGGAAGAAAGGAAGATGGTATAAAGATAACGGCGTCATATACGGTACGTGAGATAAAGATGACGGGAATGGCATGTAGAAGATGAAGTTAAATTTCTAGTGGCTACGAGGGGATGGACTAATTTTTGATGGCACGTAAGGGATGAGTTAAATTTCCAATGGCATACAGGGAATTTGCTCCATATTTTTCCCCTCCCGGTCTGATCCAGGCATCTAGCCATCTAGGCCGCCCCCTCCCCTCGTCGCTCCGCTGCCACCTGGGTCAGGGTCAGATCCATCCGACCGTGCTGCTGCCGCCGCTCAAGGCCGCGCGGGGGGCGCACGACGCTGCCGCCGCTCGGGGCCGCGCGAGGGGCGCACGCCACCGCCGCTCGACGAGTAGCCACCACCGTCACGGCCCCGGACTCCCGCAGCACGGCGTTGTTGGCCTCCACTTCGCCGTCCTTACAGCCCGCCACCCAGCGACCTCCAGCGACGGTGCTGATGCCGGCGTCGAGCGCGACCCCGCCGCCGTCTCCGTCATCCCCACCTGTGCCTTCGACGCCCTGCATCCCTGGCCGGCAGCCCCTGTTTGGAATAAGCTCGAGAGTAGTAGCACAGTATGAATTATTTAATCTTGCATTGTTCCCTGTTTCGTGTTTCGAACAATTTGTTTTATTATGGGTTCTTGATCTTATCATTATATCCCCGCATGCCTCACCTCTGTTTTTTCTCTGGTAGTCAGGTTTGATCGTTTCAATGGAATCAGGATAATGTGACGTGCCACTTTATCTTGTTTCCCTTTGGATCTGATCAGCCGAGCAGACATGATGGTTTGAATTCTAGAGTATTTTGCTTGTGATCCCCGTATGTAAACTTAGGCTACCAGCCTACCACTATCAAATCAACCAGCATCTGTCGAGGTAGTGACAACAAATATATGGAGTTGATTTTGGTTAGCACTGGGAGTTGCCTTTTCTGAAGAATTTTTATGGTTTCAGTAATTACAACTGTGGGTATTGCTCAGGCTGTATGACAATTCAGTTTACAGATGCTGCCATATCAGTTTCTCCTCCAAGGTCATGATAAACTCAGCAATAGTGTGTTATGGAACTCTCTCAATGATATCTCAAGATTTAATTTTCTAATGTTGCTCACTATTTGGCTTGACAGGGCTAAAATATTGAGGATGCGACACAGTTGTCTTTGAAAGGAGACATTGATGTCGAGTAGGTTTTGGCTGTTATTTGCCCACTTCACCTCCTACTTTTGCAACAAAAAATTATCTTGAGATATCTAAACAGTGGAAGGCCTCACCCTTGCCAGCTGAACCTGTTCAACCTTTTATTGGCATCCTGTCATCTGCTAACCAGGAGATCATCTGGTGTTGTTGCTCGCTTCTTTGGTGCTTTGGTAGGTTTCTACAGCTGAATTATTAGTTCAGTAGTAATTTACTGTTCAAAATTCTAATTAACAAAACGCTTCACAGAATGGAATAAAGGAGGTCAATGAAGAGCTGAAGGAGGCGGATTACTTTGGGGAAATTGTTATAGTTCCATTCGTGGATATGTCACATATGAGGTAAGACTATTTTTCTGTACAGTTAAAGAGCTGTCGCATGTACATTATGCCACTTCTTAAAAAGGCTAAAAGAAACCCTTTTCTGTACAGTTAAAGAGTTGTCGCATGTACATTGTGCCACTTCTTAAAAAGGCTAAAAGAAACCCTATTTTGTTTTGTATTTTTCCGTAAAATTAGCACGGCCACAAAAACAGTGACACATCATCATTTTGTAGGATTGTTCTTTTCGTGGAGCAGCGTGCTTGCCAGTTTTTAGATACAGGTTTTTAGAAAACTACACTTCAAATTTGATAGAATTAACTTTGGACTTAATGTAGCCTGTAGTGTTAGCACGGACAATACACACACAATTGTGGCACCCAGTGTGTTGAAAAAGCCTACTTGTTCCATCACACACAGACCTCACCTCCTGCTCCATGTTCAAACATTTCAGTTCCATGGTCATCTTTTTCTTCAGTTATTCAGTCTTATGTGCTCGACCTTGACTTTGATGCATGTCTGAATTTACACAATAAACTGAATTTTTAAGACATATTCTAAATTTCCATGTAATGACTTCTATCTAAATTGTAGCATTGGTAGAGTTAGCTCCTACAGGGTGAAAAAAGAAGAAATCATTGACAATATTAACCTTGAAATTTTGACTCAGGTAAGAAAATTTCAATGGAGAAAGCTTTTTGGGACATGGTTACGGAATCAATCAGAGGAGACATACCAAACTACGGTTATCTGGTCAGCCTGGTATAGGGAGTCAGGGAAGCATTGGTAGAGTTAGCTCCTACAGGGTGGAAAGAATTAATCATTGGCTATATTAACCTTGAAATTTTGACTCAGGTAAGAATATGTCAATTAAGATTGTGGATTATGGTGAACCGTGATACATATATGAGACAAATATATATTGCGTTTGGTGGGAAGTTACTTTAATCAGGTTCCCAGGACAAACAATACCGGACAAATTTTGCAGAAATCTTTGGATAAGCTACAAAAACTATATTCTCATGCAAAGGAACACGAGATGAAAAAGAGTCATGGCAAATTATTGGGAGAATTGATCAAGACCCTTAATCAAATTATGGAATCCAAATTCATTTGTTGTTTCTGTTATCAAGGGTGTGCCAACTATGGGGGAATTAGAAGTCTTTATTGTATTGACTCTGGTTTCAAATAAACTGATGAGCTATATGTGAAATTACAATATTACCTCATGAATAAATGTCCTCAACGAGACAGGCTCTAAGCAGAAGTCAGTAGAGCACGCCTCCATTAATTGAAACCAATGATTAAAGGATAAACGCCTGGTTCGTTTGGGCTTGTTTGGCTTATAAGACGTACTTTTTTAGCCAACGAATAGTATTTTTCTCTTACATCAAATCAGCTAACAGTACTTTCAGCCACGACTTATTAGCCAAATAAGTCCAAAAGAACAGGGCGAGTACGGAGCGACTGAGTGGCAGACTTACACGTTGCAAGCTTTTCTCGATATTAGTTAATTTAGTTTTTTCCTTATTAACTGCATACAAGCTTTATAAAACAAATACATACTGTAATATTTTAAGAAAACCATGGTGTCACATTATTAACAAGAGAGAGAAAAAGATGCCGCCAATACCAAGGACACGTGCGGGCCGCATGTGCATTGCAACTAGTAAAAAAAAAGTCTCACAAAAGGAAAATGTATCAACATGAAGTCTCAAGGAAACTACATATTCCACCTAGAATGCATGTGTTCTTGTGGCTTCCTTCACGGAACAAACTATTGCCACGCGAGCAAAAAGGAGGGTTTGCAGAGGATAAAACTTGCATCGTAGCTGGTAGGGCCTACCTTGGCTTAATAGTTGAGCCTTTTGGCGTGCAAGTTGGTGGTGGATTTGAATCGCCAGTGAACTTTTAGCTCAAAAGCATGTTTTGCTCAATGACATTGTTGGTCTTATAGAAACTCAAAATGTTGAAGAGCTGGGTTTCAATCAACCTGACATGTCGTTTAAAAGATATGGTTCCAGGGTAGGGTATTGCATAGAAATTAGAGATAATTAGACCCTCTTTGGTAGGGCTTGGGTTTCTTTAAAAAAAAGAGTAAAGCTCGGAAAGCCCATGCTCTGGTTTCACTGTTTTGGTTTGGTTTTGGCTTCAGAAGCCATTCTCGTATGCACACATTTGGCAGGACTTTTGATTAAAGCCGGTGGAGAAGACACAACAAAAGCTCTATAAAAAAGGGTCTTAATGTACCATATGGTCTTTGGGGCATGCGATGGAAAGCTCCCAACAAACAACACAGTCACATTGTCCTAAGCACACTATGTAAAGAAGAGCTAACTATGGTCAGAATTAGTGCTATTAGTTACGCCATCTTGGTATCATGTTGTTTTATTTGGTGTATTTTCTTATTTATGTACCATAAGTAGTTTGTTGAGCAAATTGTGCTATGGGAGTTTCATTATATTGTGCACTGCCTAGTAGATATCTATCGTTGTTCTTTCAACACAATACATCCATATATATACCTTGGTGAACTCCCAAGCTCTACTCGAAGCACACATCAAAGTATGAGGTAGTGGTCAATAGGTCGTTGGAGCTCAAGCTTCCTCAACGTTTGTTGGAACCGCACACTCCATCCACGTGTGCTGCTAGACACTCTCTGTAGTTATAGACATTTTGCAGTCCTTGCATCCAAGCTCCTTTGCAAGTTTTGGTGAATTGAATGACGACATGATTAATTAAACACTAACTTGTTTGTCAAGTGGTGAGAAGATGATTAGTGCTATGATGTAATTTTAATTGTGATCGATTGTTATCAATGATTTAAATATTCAAGTGTGCAAAATATTAGCTAGGTTCCTCGACAACTATGAAGAACTATAGCCAACTATAGCTGTAAGATGTATAAGTTAGTGGTTTTGCAAAAGCATGGAAAAAGATAGGAATATAAACATGTAGACGGCTCCAGGTCATATAGTGAACAATAACATGACAATAAGCATCAACTTGACAACTCCATAACATCATAGATTCATCATGCACCATCACAAAAGACATAAAGTTTGGTAGACTAAAGTTTAGATAGTGTAGTGACAAACTCATAAACATTAATTCATAAACTAGTAATGTAGCGAACGTGGCCCCTATGGCATATCCTTAGTGGTTTTGGTGATTAAAATGACATACATGATCAATAGGACTAACATGTGTGCAAAGATGTGTTAGACATGTTTACCTAGGTCCTATGGATTCTAAGGAACAATATTGAAGAAGATTCGAGCTGAAATGGTGACAAAACTTGCATCGAATCAACCAGCCATTGAAAACTAGATCATACACTATCTGCGGAGAAGAAACAACATGGAAGTTAGTAAACACTGAATGTTTGGCTGAAGGGTATGAGAAGACCACTAGATCATACAGTGATGATCGGAGATGTGGCAATGGGCAAGTCCTCGATAGAGAAAAAAAAAACTAAAAGAAAAGGAAGAAGTTCAAATCTTCAAGTTGCAGCTTAAGTAATCCTCTTATGTGATTTGTTCCATAAAGTTGACATGATTCAAATCCAACATAGGGGTTCAAAAGAGAAATATCTACTACTTGACACTCTGATCACCAAAGTGAGACCACTATTATGTGCATCCTAAATTCCACCTATATAGACAGTGGGAATATGCCTCATGTCAATACCTATTGAAGACTGAATTAGGCAACCATAATACTACTTGCACCACAATGTTCCACTACATTTGCCTCCATCCACCATCTTCCTCACAAACCGGAGATGAAGGAGAGGGTGACCTCTGACCAATCATGTTGGAGTTCGAGCCCTAACCCCTAACCAGTCAGAAATGAAGGAGATGGAGACCACGTGTTGGAGTTGTAGAGGAGGATGAAGATATGAGTGGAGAAAAAAAAACAAGGCTACCCATTAAAAGCCAAATACTCCCTACTCCGTTGTCATATAAGAAAGCTGAAATAAATTGCCCCAACTTATCTAGCAACACGTAAACTATATGGGTGTATTTAGATTGTGTCTGAATTCAGAGGTTAAAGTTTAATCGTGTCACATTGAACGTTCGGATGCTAACTAGGAGGACTAAACCTGAGCTACTTATAAAACTAATTGCACAATCTATTAAGCCTAATTAATCCATAATTAGCAAATGCTTACTGTAGTACCATATTGTCAAATTATGGACTAATTAGACTTAATAGATTCATCTCGTAAATTAGACTCGATCTATGTAATTAGTTTTGTAATTAGCCTATGTTTAATACTCCTAATTAGTATCAAAGATTCAATGGGACAGTTGCTCACCAGATGATCCAAGTGTCGGTTTTTAGGTGCCTAGAGGCATAACAGAATTGCTGCCTAACTGGTTGCTTGCCAGGAGGCTTTCAACATCCCAATTTACGGAAAACATCCCAATTGGCAATTGACTCATCACCGGTGGCCAGTACGAAATCAGATAGCATATGAACAGTGACTAGGACACCAGAGGCCGACATCTCTCTGTCCAGTGACGGCATGGAGAGTGTATATGTAGTAGAACACTAAAGAAAGACCATCTGGTTTAATTAAGTCCGGCATCTTGTGTCAAATACTAAACGTGAAACGTCGATTATCAATTCAGTAATCCCATTAGTAATTACTAAAAATAAAAGATGCACATTAGCAGTTCGTAATGATGATGATAGTAATAATATACATAGGAATTAGAGAGGAGGGAGGAAGAGAGAGCGCTCGTGCGCTTGGAAGTTGGAAGTCCTCTCTATGGCTTCCGTGTAATCATACAGGTAATCAATGCTACACGAGAGCTTTGCATGCAAAGCATGCAGCAAAAATTACAGCCCCAAAGCTCGAGGCTAACTAGTGTACATGTCGGCGTTGCAATTTGCAGAGATCAATATGTGGGCACGACGCCGTCGACGCCGTAGTCCGCGTCAGCTCCCCCGGGGGCCATGAGCGCAGCCACGGCCGCCGCGGCCGAGGAGTACATCTCCTCGTGCTCCTCCAGCGGGTCCTCCCCGTCCGCCCCAGCCCCGGGCGTGCGCTTGGCGAACCTGCCCTTGATGCGCGGCCGCGTCTCCGCGTACGCCTTGCGGGACGCGTACCGGATCGTCTTCTCGAACCGCCTGCTCTTGCGCTTCTCCCGGTACCGCATCAGCCGCGCCTCCCGCTCCAGGCCCCTGCTGACCACTGCCACCACGGGCGCCGCGCCAGCCGCCGCGTCGGGCACCACCGCTGCCTCCGACGATGACACCTGCGACAATATCCGTGTCTTTCTCGTCACAACACTGAGACATATCTAGCTAGGCCGTCATGACTTGTGAACTCCAAGCAGCGCTACGACGTGCTGATACGGCGTAGATTGTACTCAGATCAGAGATGCTAGCTAGCTCACACTGTGGTTCATGGAGTGGTCGGAGTAGAAGAGCTTGGCGCCGTTGAGGTCGAGCTCTGGTGGCCCGCCCTGGACGCCGATGGTCTTGATGTCGTCCATGGAACGCGCAAAGTCGAGGTCGAGGTACGGGTCGGAGTCCGCGAAGAACACCTCCGTCGTGGCGCCTTCTTTCTGCCCGTGGTCGGGCTCAGGGAGGAGCCACGACGCCGCCTCGGCCTCGTTGCTGCCGTCGTCGTCGGGCGCGGCTTTGGGCGGCACGGCCGCCGACGAGGCGAAGGGCTTGGGCGCGTCGGCCAGCGCGCCGAAGAAGGGCGCCACGGGGAGGCGCTCGTGGCGGCGCGCGAGCGGGTTGGCCGAATGGATGTCGGCGTCGCAGGAGGCGCAGAGCGCGGCGGCGTCGGCGCGGCACGTGACCGCCGCCGGCGCGTGCTCGCAGACCTCGCAGAGCCAGACCCGCGCGTGGCGCGACCCGGCGCCGTGCGCCCGCGCGTCGCACCCGGCGCACAGGAACGCCGCGTCCGCGCGGCAGTAGAGGCGCGCCGCCTCGGCGCCGCACGCGTCGCAGGGCCGCGCGCCCAGGCCCCAGTAGGCCGGGGCCCCGCCCGCCGACTTCTCGTCACCCTCCATTATCGCGCACGCCGCACCGCGGCACCGGAGCAAGCTCGCTCGCTCGCTTCGCTCGGCAGTTCCTAGTAGTGGCTGTCGGGACGAAGCGATTCTCAGCCAAGTTTTTCCCACCCCGCTCCGGATTTGAGCTGTGGCCGTGGGGGCGGCCCGGGCGGGTCTTCGACGCCAACGAGCGACGTGGAGGACCGGCTGGCCACGGAAGTCGCCGTCCCGGCGGGTCCGGGGCCAATTTGTTTGCCCGTGCCCGTGCGCCTCCTAACCTCACCGCCCGCGTCTTATCGGGTTGCGTTGCGTCCCGCCGGGCGTGCTGTGCACAGTTAAAACGCTGCGGCCGGACCTGGACATCCGTGCGCGCGCGGTGAATCACGCACGCCTCGCGCGACAGCGATAGCCTCGCCGATTCAGCAGTGGCGTCGCTCTCTCGCGGTCGCGGCGGAAGGCTGTGACGAGCTCGTCGTTGTCGCCGGAAAATTTAGGCGGCCGTCGTGACATGGCAAGTGGGAGGGATGCGACGGGGACGGGGGGCCGCGGCTGCGCGCGTGTCGGCCGCGTCCTTCCGCGCGATTCGCGCCGTGGGGGGCCACACCGGGCGACAGTTGGCACCGAGCCGTTGGCCCCCGCGATCTCGCTCTTATCTAAAATGGATGGATGCTCTCCGGCCATGCTAAAATGGATGCTCTCCGGTCATGCTAAAATGGATGCCCTCCGGGCTCCGGCCATGCCAGCGACCCGAGGCCGTTCTTGAAAATACGCTCTCGATCGGTACACGGAGGCACGAAGCTTCTCGGGAATCGGGCGCAGCTTGCATGATGCTGGTCGTGAGCCGTGACCCGTGAGTTTACGTCCTGTTGAGTTCTCGAGATGATGGGATGGATCGACTTGTTTTGCCATCTCGTTCAGGGCTTAGAGTATCTCCAACTGCGCGTACCTAAATCGAGAACCCATTCCATATTTTGAGTCATGCACAGTAAAAGGTTCCGCACCCAAAACTTGCCGCTCTCCTACAGCCAAAACAAAAGTCCGTCCCTCTCTCCTCAATCTCAATCGGCGGTCGGGGGCGAGGAGGAGGTGCCACGGGGGCCGAGCAAGGACGGCGCCGCGGGGGCTCCCCGCCTCCTATGGCCGACCACCACCCCCTCACCGGCGAGCACCCCCACCCATCGCTCGTGAGCTCGGCCGCCACGGCGGGCTCATTGCTGCTTGCTCTGCTCGGAGCTCCTCCATGAGATCTGCTCCGCCTCGCCGCCTCGGAGCTCCTCCGCGGCGCTCCGAAGCTCTCAGCCTCATCTCCTCCCGGACTTTCGCCGCCTCTACCACCTCTCCTCGGCGTCCTCCCGGCCTCACGCCGCGCCATCGGGGTTTCCACAAGGCTCGACCCCACCTCCGTCTTATCCGAACCCACTCGCCCGATTGCGCGATTCGCCGTTTGATTTCCGAATCGTGGCGAAATCCGCCTCGATTCATCAATCTCACAGGCTTGATTCGCCCGCCGGCCTCCAAGTGACTTGCGCCCTCTCCCCCCTTCCTTGCGCGTCGGCAGAGATTTGCGTCGTTGTCTTTGACGACGCAGATTTGCCTTTCGGCGAACCCCGTATGCAAAATGGGTGAGGTGTTTGGGTCTTCTGTTGAAGCGTTGTTTCGGTAGCCAAAACACTGTGCCAAACCTATTTTGCGTTTAGGTCTCGGATTGCATGCTCCGTTGGAGACGGTCTTATCCGTCAGGTTTCCCGTCCTCTAGGGCCTAGGCAGAGATCGTGGTTTCCCGGTCGGTGAGACGCTAGACGTGCTTCACGGGCTGGACCTGAACACATACCAATATACCGTGAGCGCGACTGCAAAATTCATTTTAGATCATTTGCTGTTGCGGTTATACCAACTCCTGCCTGAATTTACAGATGTCATTCCAGCGTTCCACTATAAACGCAGCGCATCGCCTCCCCTTGCGATTGGACCGGTGGCAATAAAAAGTCAACATGAAAAAAAGAGAATTGTACTTTGGAGTGATAGAATGCAATGATTGATTAAAGCAGTTTGATGGCTTTTATAACCCCTGTTTGGAACCGATTGAAAACGGATTTTTGAACTTCCTGAGAATCGAAAAGTTACGTCAAATACCTCGCGGTATCGATAATTCTTTTCACCGCGCATGACTCACCCAACGCGAGAATAAACTGGGAGTCCAATTTTCGTACCGCGGCTCGGCTACCGCACCGCCCGGTCACAAAACGCGTTTCCAAATATATATCCAGGTCTAATAGAAGTAATTTCTTCTTTGGTGGAGTCTATATATGTAAACTGGCGAGGAGCCCTATTAATCAAAGGTTTGGATTGAGCTCCTAATCAATCTACTTGGTCTTGCTATAGTATGGAGTACTCTCTCTGTCCACAAAGAATGTCATTCTCACTTCTCGATAAAATAAATATTTTTAAACCAATTATATATAAAAGAATATTAATATTTATAATGTATAATTAGTATCATTAGATAAATCATAGAAGATATTTTTATAATAAATTTATTTGATGATACAAATATTGTTAATATTTTCTATAAATCTAGTCAAGCATGTATCCCATAGTGTCTCTTTTTTGGATGGAGAGACTATGTGCCTGTGTGGCTACGACTATAACCAGCCTGTTCATTTGTTAGTTTTAGCCAGGATTTATTAGTCATGGTATATTATTTTTCTCTCACAATAAACCAGCACCAGCCGAGTTTATCAGCCCAAAAACCAACCAACGAACAGGCTGAACAAAAGTTGGTCTTGGCCTTTATCTACACTAAGGGATACATTTTTTAAGATAGGTTAAAACAGGAAGTGAGCTCAGCTCAATTGGTTAGGTAGAAGTTGTGGTCGGGCATAGTGCATCCAACTGCCCAGATTCAAATTCTCCCAAACTAAAGTTGGGTGCCTATTTCTCTTCTTTAGTTCTCTTAATGAAAAAACTTCTAACTGCTATTTTTCTACATTGGATCTCATTTTTTAAAGATAGGTTGAAACTTATATCATGTGTAGTCATCTGTAGCTATTATCTACATCTAAAGGTTTGTTCGTCTTGAAAATTATTAGTCATCAGTAGCCTTAGACATCGTTGGACCTGTGTAAAGCCCCTTTTGGCACGGCTCATCCAAAACGGCTTCACCGGTGAAGCCAAAGCCGGTGAAGCCAGAAAAACTGGTTTTTTCCGGCTTCTAGTTCATTTTAACCCCGTCTTACAAAACGGCTTCACGCTACAGTGCCTCGATTTGCGCAAAATAGATGAAGCCGAAGCCGGTATAAGTTGTGCCAAAGATGCCCTAAAATTAAAATAATAAATACTATTATTCCTGATATATTCAGTTAGCACAATGACAGTGGACATAAAGACTAGATGGTTAGGAACATGTTGTTTAGAGAGTCCAAAATCTTTCTTATTAGAAGCCAACCAGTTTAAGTAAAAAAATTTGTATCAATGAATAACTTTAAACGAGATCAGAATATCTGCAAATTTCTTAAGTGAGTCTTGTTTGGTTCATGTAGAGGAGAGAAAATGATAGTGATCACGCCAAAGTTGGTTTGGAGTATACTGAAGGTGAAGGGCTATAATTTCTATATTATTTTAATGATGCTACTCATCATTTCTAATATGGAAGAGACGAGAGAAGATGTACTTTAAAGTTTAAGAGAATCCAGCTATCTTGAGGGGAAAATAACGAAGGGCGGGTCGGTGTGGCGAGGCGGCGTGTCGCCTGTGCCTACGTGCGGTGGTTGGCGGGGTCACTGCGTAACCCATCGTGCGATAACTCTGTTCATGTTTCTACACCTTAATGTTAAAAGTTGCTAGGTTTGTGTCCGTACGTTGTTATGGTACAACTAATTTTTTATACTAAAAACATACGAATCGTACGATGAGATAACAATATTATAAAATTAAATACCGACATTAAAGTGATATTTTTAATCTAAAAAGTAAAGTTCGTGAAACTAACACAGTTACGGAGAGTGCGGCGTCGCAGGCTCACAAACTCTACTGTATAGACCTTTCTATTATGCGGCTAAGATAATATTTTATATCGGCAGGAAGAAATCTCCGATATCCATTTTTTCGTGCGTCAATAAATCCATAAATAAGTTCCACCGCATCTCCATACCATCATGTACATAGGGTTAGTCACATGGATAATATTGCGTGTCTTGAAAAATCTTTCACAAAACCTTAAAACAAAGTATGTTATACTCATCGTATAAATATGTGTGGCTTCAGGTCTATTCCACACAGACATATACTGTAAAATAAGATATTCACTTGAATGTCTATGGTAAAATTCACCATCAGCAATATAGAAGAAATAGTTAAATTATAGGTACTATTATTGCAAGCGAGGTGATTTTAGTTACCCATCTATATCATCTGCAATGTTTTTTCCACAGATAAAATTGCATTTGAAGATATTCTCGTTCCATTCAGAAATATGTACATTCACTGCGGCGATATACTGCAACCTTCGTATCATCCAAATATGCAATCCATGCTACCAAACTAAACCTCGTAGTTTCTGATTGAGATCAGGCCTAGAGCTATATTGTGATTTTCTCTTATTCTTAAGTCTATTACCACCGAATAATAGTGATAAAACTTATGAATATAGTACCCGGAATGTTTACTTCTTGCGGGTAATTTAACCTTGCTGTTAAGGGGCATCGGATAGGGAGAAAACCTCCCACCTGATTCCATCTACAGCCCAAACCTGCCCGGTAGATAGTTCAAGGATTTTACATCATTTTCAAAGCCAGACAAAGTTACATTGTCCTTATGAAAGTAAAGCACCAAACATCACAAACGGCACCATCATGTATTCATAGCCACGCTTCATCCCTGCAAGACACTCCATATGTGAGTGTTTGAGTAGTATAACTACGTTGGAAACAAATCATATTCTAGAGTGACACGACGATTCACAATTAGACTTGACTTCCAACAACCAGCTTACTAACCGAGACGAATAAAATTATATTCCAATAACTTTATTTTTTTGCTACTTGCACATTGCAGGAATGTCATTCCACTTGCTTGCAGTACCATGGATTTGTATGCACACCAACATGGGATGGCAATGTCCTGAAAATCCTTGTCACGCCCTCCTCCCTCTCAAGCTCCTCCCTAGTGCACATACTCTGTTTCTCCTGCACAATCGACACACGTTGCATTAAACTTCATAGAAATCAGTCACCAACAATGCAATGAAGTGGATTTTCCTACCCCAAGCGTATGCAAGGCTGTTCTTGTCCACCGTAAGGAGATGGAGCTCTCCTATTACTACTTGTTCCATTAGCAACACCACAACCAAATCTCTCCTTTAAGGTGAAACTAAAACGCACCTAGATAATCTCGATGCTGCCAAGGACATCGAGAGGTCACAGGGAGGTCTCCAGTAGGTGAGAAAGCACTCCATGATGGTTCGACCCCCACATGAAGATCTGTGCATGGCAAGAAACACAACCATCAAGTGGGTTTTGTTAAAATATGCACGAATAGATGACATCATATGTCTAATATAAATTCATTCGATCATTGGACAGTTTGGCTGCACAGGTTAGATAAACATGTATTGTGATGTTGTTTGGTTCAGACCCCGGGCAACTTGCCAGGGCCTGTTAGTTGCTTGTGGTTGATCAAGAAATTACCCGGTCTGGCAAACTCTGATTTTAGGCTTTACTTGGTTGAAGCCCTGCAACCATGCTTGTGTGAATGACATGGGCAAGCAGTGGTTTGATTGTTGTGCTTCCTGCGAGTCCCAGTAAGGAACAAAAGCATGTCACACTATTTATATAAGAGAAGTTTTAAAATATATGTTTGACAGTTGTGCAGTTCAGTCATTCTATATTCTATATTAAAGAAAATAATATCAGCATGGCTCGCAGTCTCATGAGTAAGGAGTATAGGACTGATTTATATTTAGAAAAATTCTGGTGCCAGACCATGTGCCAACAAAACTCAGGCAAACATGACTCTAGAAAACTCTCAGGCAAACATACCAATCATATGCTAATATTTATTTTTTTTCTGCTTCTAGAGCTGTGGTTAGCTACTGACCTACTGTCATAGGCATAATCACTAAACAATGTCAGTTGTTACCTTATTATCACCGGAGCTCTGAATCATTGCCCTTGGTACTGTTTCAAATGTCTCCAGCCCTACTGTCAACAAATCGCAGGCACCTACAAATACAAGCAGAACTGTAGATGCTAAACCAAGAATAACAGAACACATGGATGCAAGCAGAACACCAGATTGATGCAATCATGATTCATGAAAGAGGATGATGAGTCCTAGCTTAATATAAAACAAGGCAGAAATTGTGTTTAGCACATTGTGATTGCCCAAAAAAACAGAAAAACATGCTTGTACCTCAATCAATCTATAATGAACTCGTGGTACTCGGCCCTGCATTCAGAAAAAGAAAAAAATCTAACAAGAACAGTTTGTAGATGATTCCCAAATTGGGTCATATGAAATCATGCTACAACTTATTGGCCCCATTCGCTTCGCTGGAAAAACAAGCCGAAACACTGTTCCGGCTGATTTGTTATGAGAGAAAAATAATGTTCCGGCTGAAAAAACAAGCTGAAAAATACGGATTATAAGAAAAGCGAACAGGGCCATTAACATGACACCTTGTAGCTCTAAAATAATAGCAAATCAGTATTTTTAGCAATAATTTTTGGTTTAGTACCCAAAAACATAACAGCGCTACACATTTGTCTAGCCTCACAAATCAATAGTAGCAGGGTAGCAGACTACACAAGTGAAAGCAATTGTCAGTTAAGAATGGAATTGATTTTCTTCTATCCATGATGTTTATTATAGCAGGCATGCAGAACTTCTATCTCTCATGTTAATAGTAGCAAATAATTGCTGCACTTCTATCTATCTATTTCCCTTCATTTGCCATTGCTCTAAGATAGTCCACAGCAAAAAATTATACATACCACTGTAAATAATTATACATACCTAGTCCGCAACTTCTCAAGTGAATCTCATGGCCCATGACACAAGAGCTTCAGAAAGGGAGTTCCGAGTTCAGGCCATGGAGATCAGAGTTGCAAACCAGCAGGCTACAGTAAAGCTTGTGAACACGATGTTGGACGAAGATGTTAAGAATCAAATCAGTACATTGAAACAAAATCAAAGCGGTTCACTGAAACAAATCCATATCATCGAGGTGGTCGGCGTGCAACCCGAGGAAGGAGTCCTCGCTCACCTCCATGGCTGCTGGTTGATTTGAAGAAGCAAAGTTGAGATCGCCTCGCTGATGCGTGCTGCCGGCCTGCCACCCTCTGTCGCTCCGCCCGACGTGACGCCCCGGCCGACGGCCAAGCGTCCCTGTTGCTGCCGCGCTCTCGACCTGGCGGGGTGCTGCTGGTCCAATTGGTGTCGCCCTGCCCAGCGCTGCGGTGCTGGTGGTGCTGATGGTCCACGGACTGCAGGGGGAGGACGAGGGTTGAAAAAGATCTAATGCTCATTAATATGCCAATAACATAAAGTTGGAGAAGCCATTGCTGCCAGGTTGCAAAGCTGTCATATCAAGACCCTGGCTGCCAGTTTAGAAAGGATATTTCAAATTATGTCTTCTTGATATGAAGCTCTATGTACTATTAGCCAATATAAGCACTAAAATATTGTTTTAGCTGCCCCTGTTAGCAACCAAGCAATGATGACTGCTATGTTCATGTGACAATCGTGCATTTCGCTTGCCAAGTAGTCAACACACCCATTTTAACTGAATGGAAAAGCTCCTGCCTTTCCATTGAAAAATAAATAAATATTTCCTCAATGGTGCAAAGATTCTTAATTTCTAAATTTTAATCTGAAAATATGCCTTAGAACAGAACTCATGGATGGCTAACAATTAACTATCTTAACCGTTAGTTAACTGTTCGCTCCTAATTCTGCATTTCACATGGAAACATTTGGTTTTCTGTGAACGGGGCTATATGGCACATGTAGCATTAACCAATATTGAATTAACCAAATCAGCATGTTGTTTTTTAGTAGAAAACATGAGGCAAATAAAGGCTTGGAATGAAAGAGCACACTAACCTGTTTATCAGAGTATTAGTATGTGACTCACCTATATTTGCAATATTCTCAAATGTGTGCCAAACAGTGTCTTGTGGCTGTTGAGGTTTTCAGATGAAGGCCAATTCCTGACACCTATGAAGTGAAACTAATATGAGTTAGAGAGCTATTATCCATTTTCATGTGCTCTGTATTCAAATGAACTGAGCTTGTATTTCAGATAAAACTTTAGGTAGTTTATTACTACTTGCAAGTGATAGCAATTCTACTAATTCAACAAAACTGACATCTACTGTGATGCAAGTGATAGCAACTTAGCCAATTTGTCCGAATTTTTTACTTTTTGGCCCTTTTTTCGAAAGTTTCTCTCAAATAGATCCCTAGCGGAAAGAATTCCAGAAATGGACCCTTGGCTCGGCGTCGAGTGAGTGGAGCCTGAGCTCGGCGCCACTGCCATCTTGGCGCCGAGCCTCGGCCACTGCAACGGCGGCTCAAGGGGCTCGGCGCCAGAGCGGATGGCGCCGAGCTCGGCGCCAGAGATCTTGATCTTGAGCTCGGCGCCACTCACTATGGCGCCGAGCTACCTCCATTTTAACCCCCGACCTTCTTCCCCGAAAGCGTTCTTCCTCTTCTTTCTCCTCGGTTTTTTTTTCGCCACTTCATCCTACCTCACGAATCGATATATTGGACCTTGAAAACCTTGATTTGATCCATAGATCTTCGAGAGCAAGGTATCCTCGCGCCCCTCCTTGTTTTTTTCAGATCGATTCGGTATATATTTAGTCGGATTTTGAACCTAAGAATCGTCATCACTTAGGGTTTCATTGTATCCCTCAATATATGTATTATACAACTGTAGGTTCATTTCAAGGCATGAAAAATGCTAGCAAACCAAGCCGCATGTAGTTATGTTATGGGTTTTATTGTTGTTGATGAAATAAGAAACCCTAGGTTTATGGTATAATGTTAACTGCTTTTGGTTCTTATAACGAAATTGATTGTATTGTAGTTATGGTTCTCACTGATATTTTGTTGTGATGTTTTTATTTATGTTTGCTAAATTACATCCTATTTGTTAGATGCAAGAAATGTTTCGGGAGGAGTTTTGGCGAAAACGTGGTCGTCCTCGCGAATTATACCCCGACGCGTCTAGCAAAGATGCCCCTGTTCCCCCTGACCTTCCTGTCCCTAACTGTGATTGTGGTTTCCCGGCCCATGTTTTTCAATCGAAACATCCGGATACAGCCGCGCGTTGCTTCTACACATGTAGTCGGTTTAATGTAAGAAATTATTTGTACTATCCTTTTTCTTTATTTGTTTAAGTATGGTACTAATATATTATTGGAATCTCATTGTGTAGGACCATGAGAGGTGCTTTTTCTTTCAGTGGATCGATGGTGCAGAAAAGTTTGATCCTAGGTACCTCTTTTTCGACGATTGGTTTAGAGGGAGACATCCACGTGATCACTTCAAGCGGTGGGTTCCACCCCCCCTAACCCTCCGGCAATGACGGCTAAGGAGAAGCACCTAGCCGCCGTTAGACGACTCGAGGAACCTCCTCTGTGCGATTGCGGAGATCGAGCTGTGATAAACCCTGAGAATACGTTGGAGTTTGTGTGTCCAAACAAGCATGAAGTAAGTGCAAAGTGTATGTGTTAAAATCTTGAGCTATATGTGTTTATGTACTTATGTCTCATTATTTAGGTGTATTCAATGGCGAAGTGTCGTTTCAAGGAGTGGTTGTATGGTCCTAAGAACCAATGGCGGAAGAAACCATGGAGGGTTAAGGAAAAGAAGAAAGAACGTGTAATCTACAAAGCACCTCCTGTCATGTGCGAATGTGGTGTAAAATCCAACTATGGCCTAGTCCTTCTTGAGCTTGGAATAGGTCATTATTATGCCATATGATTGAGTATGATGAGGTTTGTTATAATTCGTAAACATGAAATCGTATTTTGTTTGTTTTCCTAATACATATATGATATAATATTTGTTTTGAACAGAGCACTAGGAAATGCAGTTGAGAATGTTATGATGGTCAAGCTAAGTTCTTGGATGAACTGAAGAAGAGGCAAGTAATTGCACGGAAGAGGGGATATGGACCTGACTACGTCAACCTATTCGTTAAACATCACAAAGAAAAGATGTGTGAGTTTGCTAGACAGCGCGGTATTTGTAACCCGATTGATGTTGGGCTTAACAAATGGGGATTGGAGAGGAGAACGACATTAGAGGAGGAGAGGGCAAGGAATGAGGCAAGGGAGGAGACAAGAGTACAGATGCAGGTCTTGGACGAGCATGTTGCTACATTATGTGCCAGTGAGTGCTTGAAAACCTTTTTCCGTTGCCTGGTTTTAAATGTAATATTATCGAGTTGCTAATTGATTGCATTTTATACATCAAGGGATTGGTTTTAAATGTAATATTATCGAGTTGTAATATTATCGACGTGACAGCCTCTGTTGTACAAAACAATGTTAAGTGAAAGAATATAACGTATTAATGATTTGTTTGAAAGAATATTTGTAATCTTACATCTAGGAAGCCAAGTATGCAGTCATCATTGACTCTAGGCCGAACGCGCTCGATCTCTTCAACTGAGCTTCTCAGTGTATTGCCCTGCAACAATGTTTTCAATATTAAGACTTCTGAACACCTAATGTATTACAAGGGTTATATATTTAGTTTTGTTTTCTTTTGTACAAGAATGTAACTTATTACAAGGGTTATACAATACTTGAAGGTTGCAATAACTACAATAGATAACTCCTAACGTCGGTCCAAGAACACCTAATGTATTGTTATGTAACTAAACGTAATAAAATAAGTCGATTGGCTTACCACTGGTCCAAGATCGGTCCCCGCCTCCACCGCCTTTCCCCGCACGAGTGGACCGGTCGTGACGACGTCAGGTCCTCATCGTCGGAGGACTCGATGTCGGCGTAGTCGACTTCAAATCCATCGTAGTTTGAGCTCGCACCTTGTCGAACGCCGGTACCAAGCTTGGTACCTACTTTGAACTCACGGTTCGTATGCGGCTCGTTGTTGTCGCCCGTGTTGTCGTGCATCTCCTCCCATTCCTCAATGTAGGACTGGTGGTGCCTCTCCTAGTCAAAAATCTTCTTGTTCCTCCGACGATCCAACTCGCACGTATGTCATCGTTACATTAAATCACGACGTGGCACCATATTATAATAAATGGACCATCATCATGACTCATTTGAAATATCAAAACACTTACTTGTGTAAGTCAACGCCAGTCGAGAACATAGGCATAGGCCAAAGCTGTCTCACTCCAAATTGGTGTGCAACCCTATCTGGCAGGTGGTACTCGATAGCATAGAAAGCAGATTAGAGGACACCTCATCCTATAGAAGTAGTCGTCGGCCCTACATACGGTGCTCAATTTGAAAAAAGTAAAGTCGCCCTCTCCACCATATGGCTCCCACTCTACCGCATCATGTTCAAATAAGATGTTAGATGGTATACTAATCCTTTTAATAGGTGCATGAAAAATAAAATTTACTTACACTAGACGCCGCCGTAAATCTAGCTCGTTCGTGTATCGAATGTACGCTTCGGTCTATCCTCGTATGCGAAACTCGACTGGTCCCAAAGGTAGCCCACGCCGGTTTGGCGACTTGGAGGTCGACCTTGGAACCACTCACGACGAGCAGTACCTCTGGACGACCAACCGGAAAACGAGCCCACATCCACACCGTAATAGCAGTACACGATCCACCAAGTGACGGGTTCGCCGTAGACCGACGACACCCCTCGACACAATTGCCGGATAGAAAACACAAGACTATAGAGCCCCATTTGATTGACCCACTGGTCCCGATTCATCGAGGCGGTGGATCCACATCCAGACGCATTGTCACCCGTCGTGTCCGGAAAGAGAACATAAGCAAAAGGTGTAGGATCCACGCCCCGGCGAGTAGTACACAACCGTCTCCTCATCCGCCTCCTGGGGCCGTCAGGCGAACTCAGACGTAGCCATGAGATGGGAACTCCAGAAGTGCGAGCCCCTTGCTCGCCAAGCTCACGCCCAAGGAAGGCCTCCACTCGTGCTCTCCATCCCTCTGACCTGCACTGCCCGGTGACTGGGTTCCCACTAATCCTTAGGCCTAGCATCTTCTCGGACGACCCCAAGCAAGACTCATCATCTCCCCAAAGGTAGGTGGA